CCACCGATATTTCCGGAGAAGATAAACCCCAAGAAATCGAGGATACGAGATCAACATTTACGGGGTTAGTCTTGCTACTGCAATGTTTAGGAAAATTAAGCCAAGATGAGGATAGTAAAATACGCGAATGTTTGTTCAATGAAGAAGTCGTCGCCACGTGCATTGGTGGGTAGCATGACGTTTCTTCTTTTCGATGCGTCGTGCTCAAGATTTCATTGTTTCAACATAGCGCTCTTGCTCCAAGCCGATAAGACTCTACCCCGTGTGACGAAAGCCATATCAACTTCCGTCTTGGCTTCAAAATCGCAGAATGGTGTGGCAGGATTCTCGTACATCAAAAGAGACATCGTAAAGGTGATTGGGAATATGTCATTTGAAAACAAAACTGTTCAGGACGAGGTAATGTCACCAAGAGATAAAAAGATTCGACTTTCCATTCTATCAATGTGACTTTATTGGTGTCATTTAGTAATAATGTCACCTGAAATTTAGGTGCGCAAGTTAGGAGGCATTCCCCTGATCTTAAACCAATGTAACATTGATGATAACAACCCATGTGAGTATGCCGTAGAAAAAAATCTTTCCCCAGAACATAATGTCCCGCTAATCGAACTTCCGTAACGTAGTCATACGCGAACAAGCAATATTTGCACTACGAAATTTACTGATCGATAATCCCGACAACCAAAAACTTATTAACGAGCTTAAACCCATAGAAACTGTTCAAAATGATATTTTAAGAGAGATCCACGTTAAAACTGAATTGGGAAAAGATGGCAAGATCAACCTGAAGGGAAGAGGACAAAAATGATTTTGAAAAAATTGGTCGTCAATTCCGAATGTATTCTTTTTTTTTCAAAGGCACGGCCTTGTTCAAATTATAGGCGCTGCGTTACTATCTTTATTCGGTTAATCCATTGATTTTTCTGTTCCAGTGTTCTTCCAAATGCCTCTTCAGCGTTGGAATATTTTTTATATCCTCTTCGTTACACAAGTGACAGCTCAACGGCATGGACAACAAACTTTCATAATAGTTCTTGTCAAACTAAATATGAACAAATGATTTGACAAACAGAATAATGGACAACAAAATTTTCCAAGGGATGAGCAACCCGAAATAAAAAAAATTAACTCTCACCTTGATTTCACCTTTTGCGTTCAATAAATTTTCGATCTCATCGACTTCCTTAAAGAATGGAGTTGTAAATGAATTCCAATGCTTCTTATTCTTCAACGAGGGAGAGATGAAATCTTGAGAAATCACGTGTATGTGAAGCTGTCTAATTGAATGAACGAATGAGAATGACTACTTTCACTCGTGTTTAAAAATAGATCACGTAAATATGCCAGACGAGGTAGTTACCTCATACTGGGAATAGCATGAAATCCTACACGGAACGAGAGATTTGGGTCGATTTCTTTTAATCTAATGATATTAGATGATCAGTAAATGAAGTGACAGTCTCACGAAATCTTTAAATTTCCGCACCCACCTCTCAGCAACCCATTGTCCTTTTTCTTTCAAATTTCTGACCAACTCCAAATGCTGTCTCTTCAATTCTCCGACACCGTCAATCTTTTTTCTTGGCATCACCAGAAGATGTTTTTTGGCTTTTGGATATTTATCCCAAATTATGACAAAATCGTCATCATGATAATATAATTCTTCAGCAGATAAAGTTTCGGGATAATCGCAGTAACGTGATAACACATTTGACCAATGCTCCGAACGAAATGACGATGGCTTGATGGCGATGGATTTCGATCTTTTGTCGGTCGACTTGGTGGAAATATCGCGTGCAGAGCTCATCATCATTTCGACTATTTGAGAAAATCATGGATTTAGTCTTCAATCTCTTTTTTTCCATAATATTTCAAACTCACATATCGACGGTTTTTCGGATCCTTTCATTTTTGGTATATACGGTTTCCCGTTTTTTAAGGCCCAAAACGCGTTTAACATTGATCTATACGAATCAAGAAGAGAGTTTTTGGCATCCTCGAGTAAAAGCGGATCCGCCCGAGAAGGATTCATATTCGGAGATACGACGTATATTACCTGTTAGAAGAGA